CGACACTTTTATCGCCTTCCGAATGTTTATGTTCCGTGGCCTTCTTATAAGATACCTATGGCCCCGGTCATTTTTCAACGGGAAGAGAGTAGTTGTAAGGATCAGACGGTGTTAAGGGTCAAACGGGAGGGACCAACGAAGTGATCATGAGGGTCTAATGACCTTAAGGGGGGGTCACACCACTTTTTTCAAGTAATGGAAATATACATCGATTTTTTTTTTCCACTTTTCCCATCGAAAAATCGTAATTTTTCGTCTGTGATTATTCTCGAGTCTACAACAAACCCCCAACATCAGCTGCCATTCTATCACGCGGGGTTATGTTTAGAGAGTAATAAAGGGAACGCGGGCGATGCAAATTCAAAACATTAAACACATATAAATTGATTAGTTATCGATATTCATTCAGTAAAAATGAAAATTTCATTGAATTCGGGTGCCACGAGCGAGGTATCTTATTTGAAATCCGCTGATCTCTATTTTTCTCCTCTCTATGGGCGCGCGTAGTGAGGGCATAAGAGTTCCCGGAATTCCACTCTCCTACTGTCCCTAAGGTATCTTATACGAAGCCTCTACGGTATGACATGAAATCCTGAACAAATAATTATCGTTGACCATTTTTCGATGCTAATAATCCTTACAAATGTACATTTTATAATTTTCTCTCGGAAAAAATGCTGAAAGACCCTTGCGAAGGGGTAAAATCCGATCAACAGTTGATGTTATCTTATTCGTTGTGTGGGGGTTCACATTCATATTTAATCGACTTCGTCACTCAAAAACCTATCAATATTCCGCATTAGCCCGCGGAAATAGGGAGATCTCCCTTAAATAATGCACCTTAAAGCCCACTAATTACCGGGATAACTTCATAATTACTCAAATGCTGATAAATCAGCTTGACCATTTTACGACATCCCCCCTAGAACAAACACTCGAGTTTATTCATCCCCAGTGAATGAGCAGATTCGCAGTAACTGAAACCCTCATTACGACTCATTTGCATGAATGCCTTCATTCGATTCGAATAAAGCTGTTAGCCGAGTTGTATCCACCTTCAATTTGAAATGCTCACGGTTTCCTATTCAAATAATAAACCCATATCGCTGATATCTTTGGTACATTCATCAATGTCAACACTAGCATTCGTATGTTAGGGGAGTTTCACACAAAAAAAAATTTTTGCTTCCGAATGGAAATATTAGATTTGTCAAATCGGAAATTTCCAATTTTTTGTGTTGGGATAATTAATTTTGGCCTCAGGAGTACAAATATGCTATTTTTATAATTGAAAGAACAAGCGGGAAATTGCTCTTTAATTGCATATACTATAGTTATTTTTACTAATAAATTTGCAATAAGCTTCCGAATGGGTATTTTGCACATCATTCCCTACTATCAGGTATAATTCATTGTTTATTTCATTTTATTAAATTGAATAAGATTTCTTTTCAACTAATTTTGGCAGATTTTCAACTTAGTTGAATGTTATCATCATCATTATTCTTATTAGCCCTTTCTTCTATACAGCCGATTGTCTTTTTTACAGTTCAATCTGTCCCCTCAACCCTTCGATAAAATGTCAATAGAAAAATTTTATTTACACATACTTGTCAACACTAGCATTCGTATGTTAGGGGAGTTTCACACAAAAAAAAATTTTTGCTTCCGAATGGAAATATTAGATTTGTCAAATCGGAAATTTCCAATTTTTTGTGTTGGGATAATTAATTTTGGCCTCAGGAGTGCAAATATGCTATTTTTATAACTGAAAGAACAAGCGGGAAATTGCTCTTTAATTGCATATAGTATAGTTATTTTTACTAATAAATTTGCAATAAGCTTCCGAATGGGTATTTTGCACATCATTCCCTACTATCAGGTATAATTCATTGTTTATTTCATTTTATTAAATTGAATAAGATTTCTTTTCAACTAATTTTGGCAGATTTTCAAATTAGTTGAATGTTATCATCATCATTATTCTTATTAGCCCTTTCTTCTATACAGCCGATTGTCTTTTTTACAGTTCAATCTGTCCCCTCAACCCTTCGATAAAATGTCAATAGAAAAATTTTATTTACACATACTTGAATGAATTTGAAACATCACATTTGAAGACACCATGAGAAAGCTCACTTTCAGGGAAATTCATGAAAAATTCCAAATTTTCAATAATCATCATAACAATCAAATCAACCAATATAGCTATAGTAATCATCTTTCAACTTCGACTTAATGGTATTAAAACAAACATTTGCAGCTATGATTGAATTCATTTGAAGCATGATATTCAAAGATATCCTAGGAATTCTGATTTTCAAAAAATACAAAATTTTTGCAAATTTTCAAATAAATCAAAATAACGATTATTGCTATCGCCTTCATCTTTGAACTAGGTTAAAAGGACATCCATACAAATTTTTTAAGCCATCATTCAATCAATTCAGAACGTTTTTGGAGTTATCGTGGGACCATCGATTTTCGAGTTTGATCGAATTTAAATTTCAAGGAATTTCGTCATTGAAAATTCAGAATGTCGTGGAACAATCAAAGAGAACTATAAATTTCGGTTCCATTTTTCCCCAAAGATGAATAGAAAACCAGCAGATTCTGGTGAATATATTCTTGAATTTTCAGGACAGTGACACTGAATGCGATTTTGCGGGAAAAAAATCATGAAATTTCAGATTTCCCTGAAAATTCGATGTAATTCGGCGCTTAATATTCCTATTAAATTGGAAATTGAAATAAATTTAGGAATTCTCGTCTTTATGCTGCTTAAAATTCTGGAATTATACTGAATTTCCCGTGAAACCTGAAATTTCACGATTGTTTTTCACTAAATTGCAAATCGAATAAACTGTTTTTACAGTTTAAACTTTGCTAAAATATAAATATACTGCAACATGTCGAAATACATGTGACAGAGGCCGTTCCGCCCTTTTCCACAAAGAAAGTCCGCCTCAATTTTTCCGAAATTCGCTGTCCCTCTCGCCATCACCAAGCGTATCAAGAGCGTCGCGACGCGGTGGATTTGACCATGTACCTCCGTGAACGCCCAGTACACCGTTACCACATACACACAGATAAAATATATACTGTATTAGTGATCGCGACGCGAACGCTTATGTACACGACGGTCCGAGGGGGCTTATGTACAACTCTCGCGAGAAACACCTATGTAGCCTTACCCCTGCAACTGAGTACATAGGGCCTAGATACACCTAGCCAGTATCCCGGTAATACCGTCGTAGCTATACCGAGAGAATAGCGGTTCGCATATTCGGAGATGTTTCGTATATCCGTTTATACACAGATACAATATGCCCATCAGTTCCACTGAATATCGCCAGCGAGAAATTCCGTGGAAAAAAATAAATACTGTAAACAAAGGTGACCGAGAGAACGAGAAAAACATCGCTGACACGTTTGCCCTTGACGTCGGATTGACGTTTATCGCGAGTAAAATGAAACTCAAGAAACAAAACAAAACGAAATGTTTCAATTCTCAATTCATCGTAACCAAAACATTCACCGAAATATCGTGAAAATTCAAGGCCGGAGTATCTGACGCACGTGTGCGCAACAGAGACACAATAACACGCGATATTCCCTCCATTTGCGTCGCTCTCCCGAAACGGATGAGCGGAGAAAGCGCGTGGGGGTGAAGGTTGATGAGAGAGCGGGAAAAAAACGTCTCTATGACGTGCACTAGAAATCGGAGAATATTCCAAAGGTGAGACTGAGAACCACTGAACGCAGCTGCCGCGGTGGCAGTATCTCCGCGTTGTCTGCTTCCCTCACACCCTCGCTTTGTGTCCCACGTGGTTGACGGTCGAAGGGGTCGCACGGAATGAGGGTGACGCGGGTGAGAGAGAGGCCGAGTGTGATATAGGGGAGGAGGAGGGGGAGGGCTAGCTTAGCAGAACGACCGCTGACGGAGCGAGGGAGAGGACACGCCACGGGCGCGAGGGAGATGACAGCACGAGCACGAGAGAAACCGTGTCGTGCTAGGGGTGTGTGTTTGTGTGAAAGATAGGAGACGATGGGAATAGGGCCGTCAAGGGGGGTTGGTGGGTCGGAGAGAAGCGAACTGCCACCCACTGGCCATCTACGGCTCCTCGCCCATCTCCCCTATAACTCCCATCTCCCTCTCCCGCCACCTACGGCCACCCGTCGTTTGCCACCCTACCCTATCACGGTCTCCAACGTGTTTTCGCTGGAAAAAAGAACTGCGCCTCGTTGCAAGATTCTTTAGGACTTGAGGAGTGAGGGTGGCACTCGACTGGACGGCGTTGCGGAAAATTGCGAGCCTTTCATTCTTCTGTAAAAGTTGAGGAGAGTGGAGAGGGTGAAGTGAAAAAACCCCGCGGGGGAGATGGGGATTTTGTGCGGATTTAATTGAGAATTTAGTGAGGGACGGCTGTTGATTGGTGAAAGTTCATCCGTCATCGGAGGGATACGTAGGTCAAGATTATCGGGTTGAGTGCTTGGAAGCACGTGGCATCTGCTCGTGTATTTCCACGATTGTAGGTTTTACTGGGGTGATTTACTACCGGGCACTCTGTCTCTCTCTATTAACCGGTTATGGTTGTTATGACTCTGTCAGGAGAAAATTATTGCTTTGGGATTTTGTGATCAGCTGCTGGTAGAATAGAGATTCCAGGCCCTGCAGCCTTCTCTGTCGACTGCGGTAACTTGCCTCGGATTATCCGCGATGATAAGCACGGAAGTGATCATTGTTGGCGGTGAATTTGTGACCCTTATGACCCTTGGAGTCACAAATTTCGTTTCGCGGAAAGTTGATCTGTCCCAAAGTTACAAATTCAAGCTTACCTTTCTAGCCGGAACGCTTCTGCTCTCCAACATGGCTGCTGACCACCCAAACCGCCAACAGTTTCGAGTACTCCACCCTCCTGGTATCCCTCCTCCTCGGTCAGGGTTACAACGCGTACGTCGTCAGTGGTTACGCTTCGAGAGAGCAAACTCTCTGCGACATGTCGATGCGCCCCTGTCCATACTTACCCAACTCCGATTCGACTCCCTCCCAAGCCCAGACCGAAGACTCGTCCAGATACCAAGTTAAATCACCGCCGGATTTCCGGAGCAAGTTGCTGATGGAGATGGAGGAGCTCGAGCGGAAGCGATTACAAGAAGAGGCCGATCTGCAAGAGAACGAGCGCCGAAGGATGATCCTCGAGCAAGAGCGACCTCCACCGGACAGATTCTGGGGTCACAGGGTCCACAGCTGGGTCCTCATCCTCCCGAATGACCCGTCTGAGACGACTCGCTACGAGGAGATCAAGTCACCTCTCTTCATCGAGGCAACATCAGGATACTTCTACCACCTGGACGACCCCGACACTCGACTTCTCTATCACGGCGTCGAGAGTGTCTGGAACGACAGGAACTACTGGGCTAATATGCAGGTCTGCACGGACTCTTGTGAAGCCCTCAACTGGGACCTGGACAACCCTCGCTACTGGGAGCACCTCCTCCCGGGGGAGCCCTCACGACTCATCATCTCCGACGAGAAAGAAGAGGACTACAATCCGCTGCAGGACAAGCACCTCGACATGCCCTTCTCCTACGTAGACGAGATCCAAATCTCAAGTCTTGACTTTGAGCGGAGGTACCCCAACGGCCGAAAGGTCATCTTCTTCAAGAAGACCAAAGCGGAGTTCTTCGCCCCCTACGTTCAGATGGACGGACTCACCTCCAAGATCACGGAGTTCGATGATTACGAGTATCAGTCACCCGTAAAAATACTCGAGGAGTATCAGAACCGGGGGGACAAGCTCATAGAGTCGACCAAGGACTTGATCTCCGGAAGTGTGAGCGACTCCTATGAGCGGGGACGTCCGGATGCTTGCAAGGAGCACAGATACTCGTCGATGGGGACGAATTCCGTGGAGGACGAGAGGTCTTTGGAGTTCTTTGATGTCATCAGGATCGACGGACTCAGAAGGATTGAGACCAGTCAGACACATCTGACTCAGCATTACGTTAATCGGAAAGACTTCTTGTACTACAGGAGTGTTCAGTTCTCCACTGACAACGGACAAGTTCCTCAGCATAACATTCATTACAGGAACATCTCGAAGATAACGGAAATGTTCGGAAGGAACGAAACAGTCGAGGCGAAGAGGGACGTCGCAGTCAGAGAATTCTGTATTGATGATAACGAGATCAGGTTGAAGTATCATTACCGAGAGGACGAGGTGACCCGGGCTATGAGAACTTTCGTCAAGCCACCGGTGGCTGAGAGGGGCGAACGTCTGGTGTTCAATGAGGAGATGACCAGTGGGTACGATCCCGACCCCATGGCGGTCCCTCCGAAATCGTTGGAGCTGTTCTATCTGCTGGAGACCCTGCTGAAGGATGAAGTCAAGGCGATTAATCATGTCAGAGATGCTGAGAAGGAGATCTCGGTGTTCTTGAAGACCAGGAAGAGGGAGTACTTCATGCCTAAACTTGTGGTTTCGCTGTTTGATAGGAATAGGAATGAAGAGGCCAAGGCAGGGATGTTTGCTAAGGTATTTGGAGTTTAGAGAGATTGTTTGGATAGTGGAAGGGGAAAAGTAGATGGGTCAACTTGAAATTGGGGTGATATTCGATGGATATCTCTGATCCCGCTGCAGATAGCTGCTTTGCTTCCACTCGAAAAAGGAAAGGACTGATTCATGTTGATGGTGACTTGATTCTAGTTGATTTTCGACCTATTTCTGCTCATCCGCATTCTGGACTCGAGATGAGTTGAAAAGTGAATTATGTTGAAAAGGAACGTCTCGAGTCGACATGAACTTGGTTCAAGCCGAGCGATTGGATTGCTTCAAGTTGAACGAACGGATTGATTCAAGTCCCTATCGTCTTGATTCAAGCCGAACGAACCGATTGATTCAGGTCCCCATCGACTTGCTTCAAAGAGAACGAACGGATTGATTCAAGTCGTCATTGAATTAATCCAAGCCGAAGAAACGGATTGACTCAAGTTTTCATAGACTTGATTCAAGCCGAAGAATCGGATGATTCAATCCGCGCGAACGGATTGATTCAAGTTCTCATCGACTTGATTCAAGTCGACAAATCAAGCCGAGCAATCTATTAGAATCAAATTGAAGAATCGTCTTGAATCAAGTCGAAAAATCGCATTTAATCAAGTCGAACAATCGTTTTTAATCAATTGGACTCGGCACGACTCAAGTCGAAGAATTGACTTGCATTGAGTCACAGAATGCACTTGAATCAAGTCGATTCTTTGACTCGATTCAAATCCGATATATCTTTCTAAGTGAGATTTGATTCACACCGTCGATCACGGTATGAAATAACTTAATTCTCGATATGATTCAGACCGACTTTTCGATTTGATTGAAGATGATTTTTTTGGGTGTTTCTCAATTCTTCGAAAACTGTTTGTGGAAGGAAAGCAACTTTTTTGGTTTGCCTCTTCACTATTCGGGAAAATCTCTTTTTGAAATAGATGTCGTAGTCGGATGGATTTTAAGGTAAATAAACTTTTAGGAAGAGTTACTTCGTGCGCAGAGTCAGAGAGAGATTGAGGCGGATATCGACTATTTGCGTCCGTTCCTGGCGAGACTCGGTAATCCCAAAACTCTGACGAAACACCAGGCATTTGAGGTGCGCCAGGAATGCCTGAATGATCTTAAGCTGACGTTGACGAACCGAGCGAATGATATCTTGAGGCGATTCGAGGATTGCAAGAGGATCTTGCAAGGACTGCAGCAAAAATTGGCTGAAGTGAGTCGAGAAATCAATCATTCTGATGGAATTCTCATCAGATCATTCTACGAAATCATCAATAGTACTGATTTAGCAATAGTTTTATGTTCGAAATTGATAATTATCGTTCACAGGATGAGGATCTCGCCAAAGAAGAGAAGGAAAAACTGACCACAGAGACCAACGAAGTCAGCATGAGAATGCACACCCTAGACATTCGTCTTAAACGTCACGTAGAATTATCTTCAGAGCGTTATCGAGTCATGGTGAGAATTCTCGATGAGGACGAACGGCTGTCAGCACTCAAGGATTGATTAAAATAATGTCTCAGCCCATTTTTTCAAATAGTAATTTAATTAGACAACAGTCAGATTTGTTCCTTATTTCTTTTTATCTCGATGAAAATACATTCTCGTGGAGTCTTTTGTCAATATCACGATTAATACTATCTCTAACTTTGGTCATCAACACGTGTGCACAGGAAAATAGGGTGCAATATCATTGAAAGGACCAAGAGCCCATTTGTCCGATGCAGCGACCTGAAAGTGAGAAAATAATTCATTTCATTATTTGAATTATGAATTCTTGGATTCGATGATATGTGGAATTAATTGTGTGAAACTCGTGCACTAAGAGAAAAATCGACGTAATATCACAAAAATCATTTCTTGAGTGAAAAACATCGCATATATATTTGATCAATTTATGGTAGGTTTCAGGCAAGAAATCGGTGCTCTTCGGGCTAAGGAGGAAGTTACTGAAAGAAAAGATGATGTTTTTTTTCAAGATGAGATGATATTCCTCCAAAGACAAGAATAGTTTGACGGAAGGAACAGAAGATATTGCTTCTTCGAACTCGACGCGATTGAGCGTAAGCGACGGTCATGTTTTTTTAATATCTGGAGGTTTTTCTCTGCATAAACTCTCTACTCATTCAATATCAAATCTCTGATTTATGATGCACTGAATCGAAGCTTTTAATATTTTTAGTCATTTTCTCATCTTCTGACACGAAAAAACCGATTTCTTGTGGCAAGAAATTCTCACTTTATCATGAAATCTTCATGTTCAAGTCACGAACACTTCACCGAAGTCTGACATTGTCGGACACATTTTCCAGAATTCTTGTTCCAAGAAATTGATCCTCAAGAGATGAGATATTTGGCGCAAGAAATTAGTTTTGTAATGGTATGAAGATATTTCTCTCAGTCTGTGTGTACAGGAATGGATTTAGTACGTATTTACATTCTTGAAGTATGCATCAGGAACATATAAAAATTCTATATTTGTTCACTGGGAATGTGTGAACATGAGCAAAATAGCCTAAAATAGATTGTTCATTGAAAGTGGGGAATTCGATGAGTGAATTCACTTGAAATTACTTTGATCGTCTATTAGATATTTAGATTCGTCTATTAGATTATTAGATATTTGGCCCAAAAAGTTAGTTTTGTAATGTTATGAAGATATTTCTCTGTCTGTGTGTACAGGAATGGATTTAGTACGTATTTACATTCTTGANATATAAAAATTCTATATTTGTTCACTGGGAATGTGTGAACATGGGCAAAATAGCCTAAAATAGATTGTTCATTGAAGGTGTGGAATGCGATGAGTGAATTCACTTGAAATTACTTTGATCGTCTATTAGATATTTAGATTCGTCTATTAGATTATTAGATATTTGGCCCAAAAAGTTAGTTTTGTAATGTTATGAAGATATTTCTCTGTCTGTGTGTACAGGAATGGATTTAGTACGTATTTACATTCTTGAGGTATGCATCAGGAACATATAAAAATTCTATATTTGTTCACTGGGAATGTGTGAACATGGGCAAAATAGCCTAAAATAGATTGTTCATTGAAAGTGTGGAATTCGATGAGTGAATTCACTTGAAATTACTTTGATCGTCTATTAGATATTTAGATTCGTCTATTAGATTATTAGATATTTGGCCCAAAAAGTTAGTTTTGTAATGGTATGAAGATATTTCTCTCAGTCTGTGTGTACAGGAATGAATTTAGTACGTATTTACATTCTTGAGGTATGCATCAGGAACATATAAAAATTCTATATTTGTTCACTGGGAATGTGTGAACATGGGCAAAATAGCCTAAAATAGATTGTTCATTGAAAGTGTGGAATTCGATGAGTGAATTCACTTGAAATTACTTTGATCGTCTATTAGATATTTAGATTCGTCTATTAGATTATTAGATATTTGGCCCAAAAAGTTAGTTTTGTAATGTTATGAAGATATTTCTCTGTCTGTGTGTACAGGAATGAATTTAGTACGTATTTACATTCTTGAGGTATGCATCAGGAACATATAAAAATTCTATTTTTGTTCACTGGGAATGTGTGAACATGGGAAAAATAGCCTAAAATAGATTGTTCATTGAAGGTGTGGAATTCGATGAGTGAATTCACTTGGAATTACCTTGATCGTCAAAAGTTGCCAGAGTGAATTTGCTAAGTTTGTTTGTAAAACTACCGGCATTCATTATCACAGAGCCTTCGGTACGATTCTGATTGGCAGCGTCAACAGTTTCTCCGTTCAATCGACTCTCTTCGGCGAAACCAGATATCAAAGTGTCCATCATTATTGCCTGAAAACATGAGGAATTGATGATAAATTGAAAATTATTAGAGGCATTTGCACCAATTTGCGATTTGTGATCGAATTGCCGATTTGAGAAATAATTTGCTGGTTGGTTTGGTACACTCACTTGCTTGGAGAACACTTGCAGAATTTTGTAAACCCTCGTTCCATTCTCTCTGACTGGAAATTGGAGGAATAGACATGGCAAGCAGTCGGGATTGCTCTCGTCCGAGGGCTTTGCCATCTCCCAACTCAAATTTGGGTATTTTAGCCCCAGTAACAGACTCTGCAAAACGGTCCACATATCGATTAATTAATTTCATTTTATATCGTTTATGTCATTTTATGTAATTGAATCAAGTATATTTTATACTCGAATGAAGATTACCGTAGGGGACGGTAGGACAAAATGGACCGCAGGGCAAAATGGGCCCCTAAGGGAAAAGTAATAATTTTCATTGAAGTTGGGGGAGGGTATATGGGTCAAATTGTGAAAGTAGAATTTATGATTGCCTTCTGAGAGTCATACTTCTCAAAGATCAGGCTTTGCGAGGCTCAAACGTTGCAGTGGTCATCTCCATTATTAGGTCAATTGATCGGTTTGTAGATCGTTTGAATTGTCACTTGTGTCAAGAATTTCCGCTCATTGTATTCTAAAATCACGAGTTGCTTGAAACAATGATTCTAAGATCTACAATGTCTGACCCTCGTGAGACATGACTGTTACGATTTTGAAGTCCGCGAGGGTTGATCTTTGCGAAGAATGACCCTCCCAAAACAATCCTACAATTCTACTTTTCCACTAAATTTATTGTTCGTAACACGCCAATGTAAACAAGGGTGTCTAAATCGAACGAATTGATTTTTTCAATAAAAATTATTACTTTCACGTCGGGGATCCATTTTGCCCTGCGGTCAGTTTTGCCCTACCCTCCCCACTTGAATCAAGTATATTTTATACTCAATTCATGTATGTTTTTTCCGTGATCATTATTTTAGTAGCAAAGTGGCCAAACGGTTTAAGTCAATTTGGTCTTTAGTTGAGTTTTCCAGAAATATCTCCGAATGTGAGGCAGAGAGCGTAGTTTTCATAATAACCTTTTTTGTAGGGCGAATTGAGTACTACTAAAAAGGTTATTAGAAAAGTTGTGCTATCTCCCTTAGATTTCGAGATATTCATTGAAAACTGCCCAATAGCATCAACTTAAACCTTTTGACCACTTCGCTGCTGATTTCTTGTCATGACACCTTACGACCGGAATGATAAAATATGCTTTTATCGGCCTTGTGACATAATGTACTATTCTCCATTACTCACACATTGCGCATCATCAACGACGTACACCCCCGTCGTATTGATGGCAATCAATACCGACATATCCCTGTTAGTGATCCAGGAAGCCAATCCCCGGACCGGCCTCTCAATCTGTCCCTGGAAGAACGCCGAGCCATAGCAGGGTAATCCCCAGCAAAACTCCAGGTACTTCCTCACGAGTTTCCTCGAGTTTGGCGTTGTCCCTGAATGATTGGGTATTCGTTTGTACTGCTCAAGTAATCTCGCCTCCGGTGCACCCTTACCCCCTACCAAACCTAGACCAAAACCTAATCCAAATAGAAAACCCGGTGATGTGTAATGATGCGGAAGAAACCTCGCCCGATGCTTCCGGAAGTACGCTAGAGTGTGGGTTTGGGGATTGTAGGGGCCCAGCTCTATTCGCGCTTGTAGGGCACCAAGGCTTGCGTACCTTGCTTGACCCTCACATGGATACCTCCCTGCAATATTGAGGAAGGAATATGAGTGAAGTATTTCGTGATTTGGTGAAGATTCTTCGCAGTTCACTGCTGACGTGGATACGTCTGTTTTTATTATGGGGAGGCATTTAGGGAAAAAGTCCTTATGGTTCCTTATCGGCAGTGGCGCCATCTATCGGAATTCTAGAATGTTCTAGAATTTTCTAGAAAATTGTGGCTTTTTCGGGCGAATTCGGGATTTTTCTAGAGAATTCTTCCCATCCAAATTTCAGCCAATAGAGTTCCACTATTCGACCGTTATTTTATATAGTCAACGCGGTATTCAACTGATAATTTTACACGCGGAGCGTGCGTAAAATTTCCTTTTACGCACAGGTGGTAAAAATGTTATTTCAACACATTTGGTATCTTAAAATAAAGTATTATTTCGGTAAAGTGAAAGTAATATTTCACTTTACGGACAAATGATGAAAAAAATCTGCAATCTAACTTGAAAATTTTGTCCATTTTCTAAAAACCGGATGGACTGAATGATCTTATGGCGATCTAATACTTGAGTGAATGGTGTAAGAAGCGAATTTTCACCTTCTAAAACATTATGCCGCGCCTCAGCATACAACAACTCAAGCATCTTGGGATCCTTGATCATCTCCTCGTCTCTCCTCGACAAAAAGACATTTCTCCTGAAGTAGAGTAACGGCTCCTCATCACTCTGTTCCCTCGTACCATACTTATTCACCAATTTACTCCACTTGGAAGCAAGATCTATCGGTCTATGATTTGGCCTCAACTGTAACTCCAGTTGAGATGAACACATCCACATTGCAAATACTGTTTCACCACTGATCTGTGGTAATCTAGACATACCGATTTCCGGCTCTGTCTGTACGATTGACTGAATTTGTTGGGCTGTTGCGTTTCTCTCGACTTCCATCGTTAGAAATACACCTGACATTAGATACACCGCTATTCGAACACTTTGACGGGAATTTTGAGGTACAGAGTCTACTTTTGAGGGTTGAAGATCTGGAAGAAATAATGAAATTCATTAACCACATGAGTGATTTTTCCTGGTTTAAGTAGATTTTGAGTTCGGCCAGTTTTCAATGAATATCTCGAAATCTAAGGGAGATGGCAAAATTTTTGCCACGACCTTTTTTGTAGCCCTCAATTCACTCCGCATAAAAGGTCATTACGAAAATTCATTTATCTCCCTTAGATTCGATGATATTATTGTGACAGCAATAATCGTTATTTTGATTTATTTGAAAATTTGCAAAATTTTTTTTTTCTGAAAATCAGAATTCCAGGGATAGCTTTGAATATCATGCTTCAAATGAATTCAATCATAGCTTAAAATGTTTGTTTTAATGCCATTAAGTCGAAGTTAAAAGATGAAATAATAACGTGATGAATCATATAAAATCTATCAAATTGTCAGGCGCGCCTTCAATCTCGTATATGTAAATACTGACTAGTTTTCGTTGAAAAAGACCTAGTTGAGAAAAAAATTATCACGAAACAAACATTCGAATCCCTAAAAATGCGAGGTTCAACTCACGTGGAGATGCATGTGCCTCGCGTTTCCCGGAGGTGGGATGCCGTCTCCCCGGATTAGCTCTCCTCACACTGCCCTCCTCCTGTTCCATAATTCCCTCCCAATACGAAAAACCCTCAAAACCCGTATTCCTTACGATATCCTCTCCCTGTCGCTATTCTGTCCGCATGTACATCCCCAAAGTCTCCGTCCTCTCCTCTCGCAGTCCTCGGATTCCCTCGCTTTACACCACATGCTATTCCACTTTGTCATCAAAAAACACCCGCCGAGGCTGGTGTAACCTCTCACCCCTGATTTTTATCAATCAGAACTGTTCTTGATGCACCACCACTCGCTCGAAAACTTTTTTCGCATCCAACAGGCCCCTTCTACCGCCCGAACCTCGTAATTGATAATTTCGTGCTGCATTTAACCGTCAAATGTCGACGAATTAATTCGAGGGAAAACATTGTGTCGAGTTGTTTTGGGGGGTGAACTATTGATTTTTTATGCCACCCTCGGTGGCTGTGATACTGACCGAGCAGGGGGCTGAAATGGCCTGCGCAAACTCGTGTTTAAATGTTGGAAAATCGCTGGTTTTTCCTCATTGTTTTGGATTATGGGAACGGCACTCTGTTAAAAATTTTCGGCTGAATTATGACACCGAAAAATTTATATTTTGAAAAGCATTTTAAAATATCTTAAAATGGCCCAATTTATATTTAAAAAATTTATAAATTATATGGTTTATATAAATTTTTTATATAGTCTATAAATTTTAAAAATATATGGAATTGGCCCATATTATATATTTTTTGATGGGGGTTTATCGTGCCAAATTCCGTAAATTTTTATAGTGGGCAAGTTACACTGAAATGTCAGGAAATCTTGTCATTAAAAAATCAAATATTCCAGTCATTTTCTGTTCAAATGACCTGGAAATCAATAAAATACTTGATTTTTCAGTTCAATTATTCTGTGAAAATTCATAAAAATCAGGAAAATTCGGAGAAAAATTGAAAATTCATGTCATTTTGTTTCTGAATATTCATGTTCCACTGAAACTTCAATCAAATTGTGAAATTTCGAGTTGTGAATTTAGATTTTTTCTGAAAATTCAAGTAAAATCCCAATTTTTCAGCGACAGGAAGATGGAAATTCCACAATTTACATGAATTTTCAAGTGAAAATGAATATTCACTGCCAAATTCCCCAGAATTTTCAGGGAATTCCTCTAAAAATCTTGGAATCCCAGGAACTTTTGAAGAAATTTCCTGAAAATTCAGAGGAATGTGGAATTCAAAGACAGATTTCTCCAAACTTTCCTGACTTTTCATTAATTTCCCCAGAATAATTCAAATAAAATTTACAATTCCCACGGATTTTTCCATTAAATTGTGAATTTTCAATGACATAATTCCTTGAAATATCAGTGAACATGTTACTTGTTAAAAATTTCTAAGGCCCTTACCGTAAATTTCAGTGGAAAATTGTCAACAGTGTCAACTTAATTTCCTCTCAATTGTTCAAATGTCAGAAAATTCATAGTTTTCCTCATTGATCATGATTATGGGAATGGTAATTGAGATGAATACAGATGTATTATTTACTAGAGTAAATGTATTTAATATTCACAAGTGTTACAATACAAATTTAGTTATACAAGTTTGTTTGAGTGAAGAAATCTGGATGTGCTAAAAGTGTATTCTGTGAATATCTCTGCAAAAATGATTTGATAAACCTCTTTATCCCGAAGATATTTCCGTAATACTTTAGTTCCAAATGAACAAAATGCTTGCTGACACCCAATTGAAGATTATTCCCATCGATCGAATACCGAACGTTTCGATCTGTTAGTAATTACCATAGAATATTAAAGGTCATAAATACTTGAAACGAAAGTATATCAAAGTAATAGACAAAGTAAAAGAAAAAGGTCCCGACTGATAATTAAACTCTCTCTAAACTAGATTTGCTCTCGATTATTTTACTTAAATCAAATCAGCGACGTTCATGGGCATCTCGTCGATCTGAGTGGAGTAGTACTGCTCGATGTCCCGGAGAATCCTGATGTCGTCGGTTTTAACGAAGTTTATGGAGACACCTTTGCGTCCGAATCGACCCGATCTGCCTATTCTGTGGATGTACAATTCTCTGTTGTTGGGGAGATCGTAGTTTATCACGAGGGAGACTTGTTGCACGTCTATTCCACGTGCCCATACGTCTGTTGTAATTAAAACTCGACTGAAATGAAAGAAGAAAAAAATTACTACGTTGTTTTTTGTTCAAGCTCTTGAATTCAGTAGCGAAGTGGTAAACCGGTTTAAGTCGACTCATCTCCCAATTGAGTTTTTGAGGAATATTTCCGAATTTAACGAAGATAGCGAAATTTTCGCAATAACATTTGTTGTAGCGCTCAATCGGCTCTACAAAAAAGGTTATAACAAAAATTTTGCTATCTCCCTTAGATTCCGAGATATTTATTAAAAACTGGACAATAGTCAAAATTAACTTGTACCGTTTTACCACTGCGCTACTGAATTCTTTCTACAAAAAATCATGGGCAATATCCCGAATCTCGAGTCTTGGGTCGAATTTTTATGAAGCCCACCTAACGAAGAAGAGAATTGAATAGCATTCTATGAATTCAAGAATGAAAAATCGAGGGCTGTATCTCCATGAAAATTTACCCCCGATATTTTTTCATTTCCCTCCCTTATGAACTAAACAATTTTTCCACCATATTATGCACGGGAATTCCTTTTTCGACTAGATAAAAACTGTCTTGTTAAAATTAACGCGTTTCTCGTCAAATGTTCCATAAACATTTAAAGTGTATTGTTAATCGTTCTAAGCTACCGCAACATCTGTAAATAGTTCACATGGTCTCATGTTTATAACAAGAAATATGGATGCCAATTGAACTGCAATTATTCCGAAATGCTTAAATAGAAAATAAAAAATAAATTTAAAAAAAAACATTTTTTCTTGTCTTTTCGTGACATGAGATTTTGCCATTTTTTTCTGACCGAATATGGACGTCAATTTACATCACATGTCAAATGAAGGTTAATTGACGTGTCAGTTTTCGACGAGACATTATTTTTATTCATCGTAAAATAGTATATCGTGTAGATGATTGCGCTTTTCTTGCAAAAAAAGGTTGTTCTTTCCCGAAGTGTCTGCCGACCCTTTTGAACCGTTGAAAATGTTCGCAAAGTGCATAATCCGGTATGGTCTAGTGGCTCATGATGTCTGGCTTTCACCCAGGAGACCCGGGTTCGATTCCCGGTACCGGAATTTTTTTTTTTTCAAGTTTTCATTGAATTTATGATCAATTATTCATCCATACGTACGTTCGTCGAGGCATAAGAATGGCTTCGAAATCATGAAAAACTATCAAAATAGTCGAGGACTTCTGAGCCCATGACTATTAAGTCTATTCTTTTGTTTTGTGAAAAGCAAGGACAGATTTGATATGGATAGATTGATAATGAGCTGAAGAAATCATCTAAAAGATGTTGAGAAATTTTGCCAGTACGTTTAATTTTCAATTAATCGTCGAAGTTGCTCCTTATTCATGAGCTTCAAAAATTGCAGTAGATTTCCCGCTTTATCGACTGGTCGATAATGTAGGAAAAATTATTTTCCCTATCAGGAATACAAAATGAGGTTCACGTTTTAATTAAGACTATCAGGCCAGGAAAAATTATTGTCATGTGACGTCAATTTTTCTCATCTCCTAATTTCGATCATACGTATTGGATTTCATGGAACGAAATAGTATTCAAAAATCAATCTCTACACAGCTCGACACATTTTAGTGTCACCACATAAAATTCTCCAGACTGAGGTTTTTAGAACTGTTTATATTACGTAGCGACCACATGGCGGGAGACTACGAATACTATGAACAAAATATAGAATAAAGAACAAAGAGAAAATGCGTTCCATGTGGTCCAATGTACTGGTCCTTATTTTGTTGAAGTTAGTCTCCGACAGCCGGAGTTAGAGTAAAGTTCAAGATGCGTCTTCTACGTGCCACTAAATAAAGAGTCACAGTCAAATTTAATTTGACAGAGTTATTCATTCGATCCTACCCATAAATTCAGTAATACTTCTGGTATTCTGAACCCACTAGCTAGATGTAAACTGACACTCATGAATTTTTCGTTCATAAAAACCAATCTCATTTGGTCATGATTTCGTTATTAATAAAAATAGAAAAGCCCCAGATATCTTGCACAACAACATCAAAATTAAAAAGAAAACAAGTGGGAAATTGCTTTCGTTAGAACATAGTCAATATATTTTTGCTGACAAATCAGCAATTTGCATCCGAATGAAATTTCTATGACAACGTATTTTAAATTGAATTCAATGATTCATACATTCGGACAAGTTCTGAATAGCACATGCAAACATCCGAGGCTAAAATTAATTATCCTGACACGAAAAATAGGAAATTTCGGATTTGACGAATAGGGTGAACAGGCCAATTGCTGCGCGGTTAAGAGAAGAATGTTTTAACTAGCAGAAAAAAATTGTTTAAAGTGAAAATCACAAAACAAAGAATAATTAAATTAAGAAATAGTTGAATGCAGCCGAAACCCCTAACTTCTGGACTGGGCTATATTTTTTAAAATTGATTAAATGTCGATCAATAGAAAAAATAATTGATCACATGATTATACACGAGCAATATCATTGAAAGATAAAATAATCAGTACAATTTTCATTTTATTTATGGAATATTCAATGCAAGTTAAAATCGTCCATAAACTAACCCCAGAAATTGACCTGTTTACTACAATTCTTCCATTCAGAAGCAAAAAAATTGAAAAATAATTATTTACAGAAGTTTAATTGAATTTTAGTTGAATAAAAAACCACGGAATTTACCTCTGTCCTGATCTGAACTCCTTCATAATGTTGTCTCTCTCCTTCTGTGGCATGTCCCCATGCATCGAGCAAACAGTGAAATTGGCCTCTCTCATCTTCTCCGTCAGCCAATCGACCTTGCGTTTAGTATTGCAGAAGATAACTGCCTGTGTAATCGTCAACGTATCATAGAGATCGCAGAGTGTGTCGAATTTCCACTCCTCACGTTCGACAGCCACGAAGAACTGTTTGATACCCTCGAGTGTCAACTCATCACGCTTGACGAGAATTCTTATGGGATCAGTCATGAATTTACTCGTCATCTCGAGGATCTCGTGGGGAAGTGTGGCCGATACCAGGACCACTTGAGTCGCTGGTGGGAGATAACGGTAGACGTCGTAGATCTGTTCCTTGAATCCTTTATTCAACATCTCGTCTGACTCGTCGAGAACCAGCATTTTTATCGCTCTTGTGCGGAGAACTCGTCTTTTGATCATGTCTGCGGGGAAAAAAATTAAAGTTTCGTGATGTTTTCGTTTTTTCTAGTCATGTTAATAGTTTGGTTATGAGTGGATCTAAAAAGGAGTGTCGAAGGACTTCTAGCGAATTAAATTTTCTGCAAAAAATGTCAATAAGAGTTTCTCCTAAACCTACTTATTCCTAAAATAATTGATGAATTGACAGAGAATATAGATGAAAAATTCAATCAATTTAAAGTCATCTTTCTTAATTGTGTTTTTACTTAGTTAATGAGAGGTTTTAGAGAGAAATGTTAATAGATTTTTTTTAAAGTGAATTCTCTCGAAAATACTTTTATGACAATTATCCCGTAAACCCATTCAATCCCAGAATAATTGAAGAGTGGACATAGAATATAAATGAAAAATTCAATTAATTCAAAGTCTTTTTTGTTAATTTTTATTGATGAGCGGTCTCAGAGAGAAATATCAATAGACTTTTTTTAGAATAGTGAATTTACAAAAATGTTGATGGCATGTTACCATATCCACTAATTTCCAAGATAGTTGAAGAATGGACAAAGAATATAAATGGAAATTTTAATGAATTCAAAGTCATCTTTGTAAGTTCGGTTTTTATCTCGTGAGTGATCTTAAAGAGAAATGTCAAGAAACTATTTTTTAGAGAATTAAATTTCCTATAAAAAATGTAAATGACTTTTCCCTCTAAACCTATTCATTCTCGAGATAATTAAACCATTGATAAAGAACATAAGTACATAATTCAATAAATTTAAAGTCATCTTTATCAATTCTGTTTTCATCCCTTCATGACTGGTCTCACGGAGAAATTTCAAAACTTTTCTTCTTTCGAGCATTAAATTTTCTATAATGAAAATTTAATTAAAACAATAGAGGGATTAATTAGGGATTTCAATCCCGTGAAACAGTTAGATAATTACCGAAGACTCTGCCAGGTGTCCCTGAGACGACATGTTGTCCATAATCGAGTTTCCTGATGTCCTCTCCCAGATTAGTCCCTCCAATGCAGGCATGGCACTGCACGTTCATGAAGTCTCCAAGAGCAAGGATGACCTTCTGAATTTGCACTGCCAACTCCCGCGTGGGTGACAGCACCAGAACCTGCGTCTCTCGGACTTGTGTGTCCAGAGATTGGAGAATGGAAATGGAGAAGGTTGCGGTTTTTCCTGTTCCTGACTGTGCCTGGGCGATCACGTCTCTGCCCTTCATTATGGGCTTGATGGAACGTTGTTGAATGGCCGAGGGCTTCTCGAAACCTGAGAATATGAACCAACAATCGAATTATTATCTTTAATATTTGATTCTATTGTCAAACTTGATTTTGAGCCGTCGTAATGAAATGAAAAGTATTCGAGGGTTTGTTTAATATCTCTGAAAGGAGTAGTTTTGGAGAATAATGTCATAGATTTTTGTGGAGAATTTCATGAGTAGCAAAAAATGAATTTTGACATTTTTTTCCAAACGCAATAATTTTCAAAATAATGCGGAATGATTCTGATGAAAATTCTTGTAATTTCGAAGAAAATCAATCATTTACTCTAGAGTATTTGGGGAAAAATTCCAAAAAAGCTTTCTGTGCGAAAATAATATGTTGAATTCTTTTAGAAAGCTATCAATTTTTGAGATATTCACGAAATAGTCTAAATATATAAATATAAGTCTAAATATAATAGAAGTGACTTTGGGTCGACAATAAAATTAAGAACGTGTGCTTGAGGGTTTGTTCAATGTCTCTAAAAGGAGCAGTTTTGAAGAACACTGTCATAGCAAATTTTTTTTCAGAACTTCATGGGCTGAAAAAAAGAATTTTGAATTTTTTTCAGAAATTCATCAATTTTTACGATATTTAAGAAATAGTCTAAATACCTTAAAAAATGTTTTTGAGTCATCATGATAAAATAAATAAAGTGTGTTTGAGGGTTTGGTTAATATCTCTGAAAGGAGTAGTTTGAAAGAAGAATGTCAGAAATTTATGTGGAGAATTTCATGAGTGACAAAAATTAAATTTTGACATTTTTCCCTAAATTCACAATTTTTTTTATAACGCGGAATGATTCTGGTGAAAATTCTTGCAATTTCAAAAAAAAAATCATTTATTACAAAGTATTTGGGAAAAAAATATTAAAAAAGCTTTCTGTAGAAAAATAATATGTTGAATTTTTTTAGAAAGCCATTAATTTTCTAGATATTGAAGAAATAGTCTAAATATCGTTAAAATTGATTTTGAGCCGTTGAAATGAAATTAAAAAAGTGTTCGAGGATTTATTATCTCTGAAGAGAGAAATTTTGGAGAAGAATGTCATGGGAAATTTTTGTGGAGAATTTCATGGGCTGAAAAAAAAGAATTTTCAAATTTTTTCCTACATTCACCAGTTTTTTAGATAATACGAAATGATTCTCATGAAAATTCTTATAACTTCGAAGAAAATCGATTATTTACTGTAGTTTTTGGAAAAAATTTCAGAAAATTTTTTGGCGAAAAATAATGTCTTGATTTTTTTTAGAAACTCATCAATTTCTAAGATATTTAGGAAAAAGCCTAGCAATTTTTCTAGTTGTATCGAAGATTATAAAAATTGTTTACATTCATGTCGAGAATATCATTGGAATTAATGAGTTTAGAGAGAAAAGAAATACCAAACGAATTTTTATTACACAGAATTTGATGCCCTAAACCCAGTATTTTCCTCGATATTTCCGAAATAATCGACTCAAACCTCCTAAATTCATGAAAAATCCAAATCTTTCTTCAAGATTAACCAATAAATAGAGGAAGATAAGATAAAATAAATCTTCTTAAATCATCAATATCTCCTGACCCAATAATGCGATTGGGATAAATTACGTCTCATTTTGAAGCTCGAAAAAATACTTTTAAAATGGGAAAAAATTCTTGAATTTCCCTCTCTCGATCTGGAGTTATTGATGATCAACAATCAACAGATTCATTTCACCCTTTGCTTCCCCAACTCGAAAACTACGACTTTTACAACAAAAAATAAACAGAAAAATTTCAGCAGGAAAATGAAAAAGAAAAATTAAATTAGCGTTTCCCCTCCATATTCACACAATGATAACATTCCAGTGCCCTCTTGCACCCCCAAAAGGCATAAAATCCACCCCAAAAGCTCTCTTGTCGTTTAAAATCCCTCCAAGATGTTGATTGTGAGGTTAGAATCCCCAAAGCCCTCCCCAACCCTCAAAAACCTCACCATAAGCGTAAATCCCTCGGAGAAGCTCATCCCTGAGTCCCATATTATCAAAAGTGGGAATAACTTCGACATCCTCACTAGTTTCAAACTCGACGTTTGATAAATCCTCGGTCTGCGCGACGCGACGTGACTTTCCCTCCGCCATTTTCCAAAAAACTGACGAGAAAATAACGATTTCAAGAGATCCGATCAATTAGCCCCTCATGTATCGATATTCCAAATTTTTATTTTTTTCCTCATCGAAGTAGTTTTGAAGAAAATTGCGAGCTAATAGAAAACATTTGCTAGTTAGCACTTTTTTTAAAATAAATTTTTGAAAAATCACCCCTGAAAAAAA